GCATCACCGAGGAGATTTGCGACAGGAAGCACGCCGTCGATACAGTATGGCGCAAGGGGCGTTTCAACAACATCGAAAAGTACTTTACCAAAACAAACATTTGCCTCTCTCTCGCAGAGCAGAACTTTTCCGCACGCTCATTTTGAGCAAATATGTGTATGGATGCGACTCATGGACTCTCATGGAGCAACAGACCAGACACTTTGTCCACACGTCGCTCATGAAGCTTTACCGACGTCTCCTACCTCAGGCTTATCATACACAGCATAGTGACGAGGAAGTGCTTTTTCTGACCGGTCTCTCTGACCCGTCAGATTTACTCAGACAGCAACGATTGCGGCATCTGGGCGCTCTCTACTCCTGTGCTGACTCAGTTCCGTGGGGACGCATCAATGCCGACACAGAGTGGACACAGTTGGTCAGAAGTGACTTGGAATGGATGTGGTGCCAACTGCGATCATCATCCAAATTGCCTGACCCTCATCACAATTTTGGTGTTTGGATAGGCATCATGAGAGACCATCGACGCTACTGGAAGAAGCTTGTCCGTAGAGCAGGAGATCATGCAGCAGCTCAGAGGGACAATCGTTTTTCGGTGACCCAATTCCACCGTTCAATTTTGCAACAACTGCACCATGCACAATGTTTGAACAGTGGGCCGCCATCCGACCTCCGCACCCTGCCGGCGACAGCTTATGGATGCATGCAGTGTCAGAAGAAATTTCTGTCCAGAGGAGGCTGTGGTGCTCACATGTTTCGAGTGCATGGACATGTTCACCAGGTCAGACGATTGTTTGATACGACGCAGTGCGGCTGTTGCCTTCGTGAGTTTCACAGTTTTGGTCGGCTCAAAGCCCACCTGATCAGGGCCGATTACTGTAGACACAGTTTGCAACGTCGCAACCACTATGTGGAGCCTGCAGCAGGCATCGGATCCAGTGAAAATGATCGACAGGAAAGAACCTTGGATGGGCTTCTACCTCCTCTACCTGGCCATGGACCTCACCTGCCCCCTGGACGACATGGCGTCGCTCTGGACTATCACCTGGGCTTTTTTGAGGAGATCTACATGCGCATGCTCGATGTCACTTCCGTGGCGGAAGGCGAGAAAGCTATTCGAGATATCGCCAATGAGATCCCTGTCACGTGGGAGGATTTCCGCAAGACGCTTCAAGCATTACTGCAAGAAGCCACCACAGAAGACACGGAGGTCTTGGGCATCAGTGCGGATGATTTCTTTGGCATTCTACGCCGGCTTAGCTTTGAAGCGCAGTGGCCATTCCTTTGTGTGGAAGCAGATGTCAAGGCAGAGCACTGGCACAGAGACCTCCACATTTTGGAAGATTACTGCATCAAGGAAGCACAGACCACTCATCAACGACGTCTTTGTGGCGAAGTTCCTCGTGGTTTTGGGGCTGTCCGCTATGTGCTGCATGCCTTCTCAGGCAGACGTCGATGCGGGGATTTTCAATTTTATTTTGACCGGCTAGCTAAAGATCTCCCGAACGTGCAGCTTTTCGTCATTTCACTGGATGTGGTGATCGACTCTACATGGGGAGATATATCCCGACAGCAAACCAGAGACTTTTGGCTGGGAGCCATTAGAGCTCGTTGGGTAGTCGCCATCATCGGCGGCCCCCATGCGAGACCTGGTCACAGGCTAGGGAGCGATCCATTGAGAACCAAGCCTTTGCCCCCACCATGAGGAGCCGAAGCTTCTCAAAGGACATCTATAGCAACTTCTTAAAGCTTTTCATCGAGAAGTCGCTGGGTGTAGATAAAGTCGCCGTTTGTAGCATCATACAAGTCCTTCCTTCCTGAACACAATCAGGGACATGTGGAGGCACCATATATCATGCGATGTCTCACATGCAACAATTGATTATTTCAATGACCCTGCAGCGCCTGAAGATTTGGCACCATAGCAACATAGACACTCCAACAACTCATGAAGCAACACAGCTGCTGTGCAAACGCGATGTCGCATAGCCTGACCGTATTTTGATGGTGCTGCCATGCAGACGACATCGCGGCGATGTCGCTTGCATTGGCACTTTGATCTCCACGAATGAGACTTTGGAATTGCAACTACATTGCATATCACTTGGAAAATAGATGTGCTTAAAAGACTTTTTGTGGTGCTTATGGACAAGCTTCTGGCTGTTAGACGACATCGCGCGATGTCGCCCGTCGCCCGCAAAGTCACTTTTCCATACTTTTCCAAGAATATTGTCACAGACACGAAGTATTGCTTTCACAAACTTCAGTTTTGGCTACAAAAGGGAATGTGTCTCTGCAATCGCACGACATCGCGCGATGTCGCTTGCAATAGAATTTATTTGCAGAAGTAGCAAGCATGCAGTTCATAGCAGATATAGATTGTCATTGAGTTCGAGAGACTGGCTTCTCAGGTTCTGTCCTTTTTGCTGACAAGGTGTTGGCAGTCAGACGACATCGCGGCGATGTCGCTTGCACTGGCACTTTGATCTCCACAAATGAAACTTTGGAATTGTAACTACGTTGCATATCACTTAGATGTGCTTAAGTCTTTCTGCGGTGCTTTTGGACAAGCTTCTGGCTGTCAGACGACAGCGCGCGATGCCGCCCGCAAAGTCACTTTTCCCAGAATAGTAGCGATTGTCGCAGACATGTTGTTTTCACAAACTTCAGGTTTGCTACAAAAGGGAATGTCTCTGCAATCGCACGACATCGCGCGATGTCGCTTGCAATAGGAATGATTTGCAGAAGTAGCAAGCATGCAGTTCATAGCAGAAATAGACCGCCATTGAGTTCGAAAGATTGGCTTATCAGGTTCATGTCCTTTTGCTGACAAGGTGTTGGCAGTCAGACGACATCGCGGCGATGTCGCTTGCATTGGCACTTTGATCTCCACGAATGAAACTTCTAAATCGTAACTACATTGCATGTCACTTGGAAAGAGAAATTCTTTGACATTCCGCTGTGCTTCTGGCTCTCAGACGACATCGCGCGATGTCGCGCGCAAAGTCACTTCTCCAAGAATATAGTAGCACTTGTCACAGAAATGAAGCATTGCTTTCACAAACTTCAGTTTTGGCTACAATATAGGGAATGTCTCTGCAATCGCACGACATCGCGCGATGTCGCTTGCAATAGAATTTATTTGCAGAAGTAGCAAGCATGCAGTTCATAGCAGATATAGATTGTCATTGAGTTCGAGAGACTGGCTTCTCAGGTTCTGTCCTTTTGCTGACAAGGTGTTGGCAGTCAGACGACATCGCGGCGATGTCGCTTGCATTGGCACTTTGATGCTCGCGAATTGGCTGCTTTTCCTGTCACTTGGAAGTTGGTCATGCTATGCTTAAGGAGAAGCTTGTGGCTGGCAGACGACATCGCGCGATGTCAGCTGCAGCATGTCTGTCAAGAATAGCAGAGAACTGCTGCGCAAATGCAGTAGCTGATGCTCAAGTAATACATTCTTGGGTCTGCTGGTTGAGATGGTGCTCCCTGTGACCACGACGTCGCGAGATGTCGCTTGCAGTAGCACTTTCGGAAAGTAGGAGACACTGCGGTACAGATGGACCATGGGCATTGCTTTGAAGTAAGTGCGTAAGGCGTATATTGTCACTTTGAGCATGGTACTGGTTAGTTCCCGAAGGTAACAATCAATATTGAAATATATTGCTAAGGCAAACATATATGGCAAAGGCCAATATATTTAGCCAAAGCCTATTCCTTCATGCATGAAGGTTCCCAGTGCATCCCTTTGTTCCACAAAGGGCAAAAGTTCATAGTTCCACTAGCTGGCATTCAATCCAGACATTTTGTTTTGGGTCTTGGTTTCCTGCGCATTTTTGGCAACACCCAAACATGCCATACAAGTGCCATCAGTTTATAGTGAAGCAATGCTGCACTGCTATATCGAGGTTACTGTCAAGTTCAACTATAGTCGCGCGCCATTTTTGCATGGCTTGGAAATATGTTTGTGTAAGCTCCCCGGGCTGCCTTAAGAATTTGGGATGCGGCGCAAAGCGCTTACATGTTTTTTCAACGCCAATCTTTGGCAAGAGGTGGCGGATGGATTTGGGGCATGCCAGCACATCCGCGCTCAGCTACCAGGTTTGGAAGGTTCAACTATTGGAAAGCATGCGACACGCAAAGACAGCAGCGCCCCAAATGTGCTATCATGACACTCGGGTTCGTTTGCAGTAACATTTCTTCTTGACAGGCTTTGAGCCTGTTCTGCTTGAGCCGGGGAGGGCTAGAAACACAACACATATAGACAGGCCTACACTAAAATAATTGCATGTTTTTTTGCTACTACAGGGCCACCAGAGACAGAACTGGACATGGAACATTTTTTTCTTACCTTCATTGGGGCCACCACGAAATTCCATGAAAGGTTTCACCACCCACCAACTGAAGCCAAGATCTTTGTATTCGCTTCGCTAACGAAACAAACACATGCATGTTTCAAAATAGAACAGTTGCAGGCTTAAAAATGTAAGATACTTCAGCTCAATGATTCCCAGGGGCGGCTGCCGGCTTGCCATGGAAAGCCTTCGCTGCAATGCTTTTTTCAGGATCAGCCCCGGTTCTCTGCATGGTTTGCATGCAGCTTGGTTTCCCACCAACGCTGACTCAAATTTAGAATCAATCGTTGGAAAAGTCGCTGTAAAACGGTAGCGGAATGACAATGGGTTCCAATTTTCTTCACCCGCCCCAAAAAACTCTCATCCTGCCAGCACGCCAAGACTCTCGGGTTGAGTCGTGTGGCAGCAACAAATTTCATTATTTTCTCTAGGGCGTGGTGTTTTGGACGCAGTTTCCAGCGTAAGACACCAGCATTTTGGCATTCTTGCCGCAGCCCTTGACAATGCAACAAGTGTTGCAACAAAAGGTCGCAAATCTCAGCCGCTGCATATTCTGGAAGCAAAATGTCATGCACATCCATGACATGCATTGCGCTAGTGACGGACCATGCGCAAAGAGCTCCGGCTTGGAGTCGGTGAACCTAGGCTTTAAAAACACGTTTTGTCAATTCTTTGGAGTGACGTTCCAAACAAGAGCCCAACATGGGGACCTAGATTAAGATGAGGGACACCTGTCGCGTTTGCAAATTCGATGGCTTTCCTGGTCATAAACCACAAGATCATCTTGATGTGAGCTGCTTTGAATGCAGTACCCAACTCAGGGTATGAGCTCGATTCATTCAAACGGGTGTTGCGCTCGGTGAAGAAAAGTTTTCGCACTGAAATCCTCAGATGGGCCCCGCAACATGCATAGTAAAATCACACGAGAAACAACTATAATTTGATCCCGGTTCAGGTTGGGCTCGAAAGGTTGGGAGCCCCATTCTGAAAGTACTGAATGGCGCGCCCAAGGTGCAGTTCTTATAAAATGGCAGAACCCAACGTTCACAAATGTAATTGTTTGTTACAAAATGGCAGCCTATAGCCGACCACTAGTTACAGAATGGTACCCGAATCTTGCTCGACTCGCATCCGCTCGCATCCGCTCGTTCGAACTGGGCCCTCGCCGAATGGTCGGGAATGGGGGGTCTATCAACAGATCCCCCAAGGATCCCTAGACAACAACCTCCAACAGCCCCGGGCCGACCCGACCACAATCCCGAGTCGCCTCCCCTTTTTACCCGCTGTTGTTCGGAGCTGCTGTTCAGTGTTCAAGCCTTTTTTTGTTATTGGATTTAAGGCGGATAAAATTGTCATTTTGTCCTTCAGTCCTTCAATGTTACAATGTTGTCATTCAGTTGCATTTAATTGCGCCATTTTTCCAAACAGGTGTTGATTTCATGATATCGAAAAAATAATTTCAGAAATGGCTCTACTTGTTCGGACGGCGACATTGGAACTTGATGCATTCAATATCTAGATTCTGATATTGATGTCTTTAGATTTTGAACATTATCCATGGATGTTTGCATCCATCCGCCCCGTTTGTACCGGGCTATGGTGGTACTGTTATCCATCTAGTTTTGAATCCGTCCAGTTTGCAACGGCTATAGTTGAACATTATCCATCCCGTTTTGAACCCATCCAATTTGTAATGGTCATTGATTTGCCCTCTTCACAGCCTTTACAGAATGGTCGGGAATGGAGAGTAGCAAACCCCAAAAACGGATACAAAACAACGGGCCAGGGTGGGGTACCCTTGCACCATGCCCCAACCCAAGGTCAAATTTTTGCACCGAATGGTAGCCAAAAGCCATTCTGTACCAGCCTTGGGGCATTCTATTCTGTAACAAAAACTTCAACCGGGATCTAATTTGTAATTCATGAATTGTGGAAAGAAAATTTGCTTGCCAAGCAAAACGAATTGATCTTCTCGGCTCGAAAAGCTTGATGCATGTCAATACTGAATCTGCGTAAGCGAGAGTGAAGTGGCTCGCTCTCATCGCCCAAGCACCCAAATTCCACAAAATCAGCAAGTAAGCTGGCTATCAAATCACGTGCTGTACCTAAGTACAAGACGTGCATCAAATCATGTAGGCACGTCTCCAGCTTCCATCCTGGTACTGCGGCCCAGGGCGGCACATTGCTGCAAGTTCTCCTGTAGGTTTCATCATCTATGGTTGTGAGGTGTCTCGCAGAATCTGGACGGAAGTCTTGGTAACTCATCTCTGGATCATGTTTGTTCAGGGGGTTCTGTGCCATGCAAGACTCGCAGATAAACGTGCACCCGTAATGCTTTTCAAATTCGTTCGTCTCAACACGCGCCTTCGCGTCAAACCTCATACAGAGGTACGCGCCCCTGCGAACAGAATCGACTTAACAATTACCAAGATAATTTGTTTGCTTGCTGACAAGTTTGACATTGCGATTGAATTCCCATCAGAGAGATCCTTGCCTCCAGCCATTGGCGATCACTTTTCCCATCAGGGAATGTCGCAAGGATTTGGGGGCGAACGCTTCACCAGCAAACCCTGTGTGAGGAAACACTCCACCAGCACATATGGATATAGACCATGCCATCAGTCTAGCAACCAAGCGATTCACATCTCGCCGTACCTGAGTTTTTTTGATTAGCTGATTTCCAAAAAAAATAACAACAGTACCATGCAAACCCCCAATTCAAACGAGAATCGCTGGTTTGAGTCATGGACTCATAGGGTAGTATCACACAAGGAAACTTCACATCGAAGACCTGAAGTTGAAACTGTTCTGGAATTGATTGCGCAACAGGAAAAGTTGAAAATAGGACAGCCATATCGTTTCACATGGCTAAGTTGAACACATCACCATCTGCATGTGCAATCATGCTAGACCAGCTCCACACTATAAACTCTGCGTTCCGATAGATCTCGCAGCCATCCACGTGAAGGGTCAGCGGCAGTGTGCCTAGGATTGGAAGGTGAAAAATGTCGTATGTACAGTAAACATATCTGAATATGTATATATATATATATATGTAAATTTGTATATACACATGCAGGGAAGACTACAAAGGGATATAGCTGAAGACAACCCTGAGGATATGACGGGACTTTGGTGCTTCCCCCCCAGCAAACGCAGGGTGGTTTTTCCAATGCGGCAGCTGTAGGCAGTGATCCCAAAACTGTTGGAGTGCTTCTTCACCGCGTCCCCCAAGCATAGATTTGGAGAACTGGCAAGACAATGCAACAAGACTCAATGCCAAACTATTGGATGGTAATTCCATTGTACAATACATTTCAAATAGGTAGGCTCACCTGTTCTGGGCCAGCCATAGCAAGGGCATGTAGCACTTCGTGTGGCAGGAGTGTCGGTACAGAAATTTCTTCCACATCCACATTGTTGAAAACCTGATTGCTCTGAAATTGCAGCATTTTTTCAAAGAGTGTTCAAATTGGTCACAATCTTTGGCCAGACTAGGTTTTGGACTTCAAGCTTCATGGATACTGGGTAGGTTTGGAGCTGGATTCCATGAAGTTGCCCCAGCCACCTGTGCATGTCCCTCTCCTCTGAACTGCAGTGCCGGCCGGAGGAGCCAAGTGATGCAAAGGCCGAGATGGCCGTTGGAACCTCGACACCGCTTTCCTGGGCGTCCTTTGACTGTGCTTGGGCTATGGATACGCAAGTGCGAATATGGGTCTTTCCTGACCCGATAAGTCCTTGGGGCTCACAAAAACCAATTGTTGCACATGAATGCATCGGACAAATGCTGAATGTTTTATTGGGCTTATTTTTTCGGGGTGCAGCTTTGAATCGAATGAACTCTTCAGCCTCGTTGTTGTACGAGCAGCTCTCATACCTGGGTCTTCTCTTCCCATGCCTAAGCGGCTGTTCCCAATGAGACACCAATGCTGGCATACTATACCATATCAACCATACTGCCATAGTTGGGACATCAACACTATTGCATACTACCATAACCATATGTGGCCAACCCCATTCACCAACCTAGCCGGTAGAGTAAGGTATCCGGTATCCTGCTGATTGCACCATGCTCCAAGGCCTCGACTTGCCAAAGTACTGGAATTTCTGCTTCGTGTGTTCACCTGCGTGGGGCGCCCGATTCTTGTGTAGATGGCGTTTTAACCAACTTCTGGCGAAGATAAAAAGTGCACAAACCTGTAAACACATACTCATACATATGTGCATCTGTACTGTGAAGCAACGATACAGTTCTATGGAGATATATCCAATGGGGTGTAAATATACAGAGAAATCCGATAGACTGAGAAGTTGGGGTAGGTATAGAAATTGCTCTGCATGTTTGTGAGCCCAGCGATGTCAAAGGTTTCAAGATTTTTACCAGGTCAAATCAAAAATAACTGTTCAACAAGAAGCTTTCCGAAACCATTTTGTCACCTTGCACTGAGATCGGTTTGATGGCTTTCCCAAAGGCAATACCCCATTGCCAATGCTTCCTTCATTTTGAAGGGGATCCAAAAACTTCTAGGCAGCTGCCGTGTTGGGCTGCTGCTTTTCTGCCGCAGCAGGCTTGGCCTTTGCCTTGGCCTTGTTCTTGCGAGTCAATCCACTGAGCAGGGACTTTGCAGCAGCCTCGAGGGAAGATAGACAGGAAGAAGGAGTGGATTGGTTCGGTCTATTATTAAAAATGCATTGTCAGATCCAACCAATACAAATTTATAATGTGTAGCTGGACCCCCAAACCATGAACTTGATGTTTTCGAACACATGCCTTAGCTTTTTCGAACCACTTCAACTGGGCAGTGGCTGAATCCAAGGTTGTCTGGTAAAGCGTATTGTCCGTAACCTTCCTGTTCTTCAAGTCGATGTAGCTCTCATAGAGCTTCTCTAACTTTCCACTGTTCTGGAGCAGTTGCTCTGTGAGTTCGCCTCCGTATTCAACCGCCTTCAAAGAAATAGCCAACTTCCGGGATTCCGCTGACTCACCCAAAGCCTTTTGCATAGCTTCGGCACACAACCTGAGACTAAACAGGAACCAGGTGCTAGGTCTGGAATACAAATCGTACTGTGGAAAACACCGCTTGCGTTTCTATTTTCAATAGGCTTGGTCCATTGTTGAGGCTCCTACTCTGGAACAGTTTTGGCAACTTGTTCTTCAGCCGGTGATGGTTTGGGTGCCTTTGGCGCCTTCACTTTCACAACTGGTCCTGCATTGGTGGCCTGCCAAGTGTTTTTGATACCCTCCGGTGAGGCCATGTCGAGGGCAGGAAGAGCTCCGCTGGCCAGAGGCCCACCTTCTCCGGCGACAGCTTCAAGGGTTGGGGCATCTGCATTGGCAGTGCCACGTAGGGACATCCCCTCTGCTGTGATGTCATCCCTTCTGATCTGGTTGCCAGTGCCAGCATAGTAATAGATCTCCTGATGGGTAATTTGATGGTTGTACCAAATAGGCTAAACTTGTATGTGCATCCCCCTGAAACTTCGGACAGCCACTCCAAATGTCCATTTTAGCGCAACCTTTAAAACAGATTTTACATTGTTTTTTAATTGGGCAACTGGGCTGCGTGTCCAAATATGTCTTTTTGAATTGTGAGCATGTGCAGCTTTTTCTCATTCCATGATTGAAACAGTAAGTAAAAACGAATGCTCCTCTTCATCGCCTGGGAAATCGGGATCCCAATACCACATTCCACGAGATTTCAAAAGGGTTGTGAGCTGCTCCACTTTAGCAGCTGGGTACTTGGCTTCAAGTTCACGCTTTTTCTTCCCTTCACGCCCAGTGCGGACCGTGTTCACAGCTTCCACCCGTCGTTCCAAAACCACGGCGACCCTGGGCTGCTGGGGCTCATACAATCACAATTGGCAGGGTTCTACAATGACATGTTTACCGTTCCCATTATGTAATCCGAGGGCCAAGAGATACAATGTAAGGTCATTTGCCCACCATGGAGTACTGTAGTAATAATTGGGGAATCTTTTCCAAGATAACCGGAATAACATATTCTACTCACCAACAACAGTGTGGTAAATGGGGTTCTGTTCCCATGGGTAACCAATGTGCCAAATCTAAATCCCCCAAGCCCCCAAACAAAACTATTTCCCAGACATGTGGTAATTCAGGGTCATTTCCCAGAGATAACCAGCGCAACAGACCTATACCCCGTAATAGAAAGCATTCTTTCCCCACAACTGCCAAAAAGAATTTCAGGGTATCTTTCCAGGTATATTGGAAACTAAGATTGTTGAGGTGCTTCTTGAGAGATTGGCCGTTCTGCAGCCACAGGTTAAAGAGGTCGGTCTTGTCCCGTGCCAGGTGGTCCGACAGCTGGACTGGGAATTTCTGCCTGTTTTTGATTTCTCTGCTGAACGCGGCCCACTCAGCACGGTTGGTGGTACCTGAGGAGATGGGCCCCACTTCCGGCAAGTGGACACTGTTTAGAAAAGCCAAACACTAAACTTTAGTGGTGTTTACCCTGTAAGGCCTGACACGGGATTTTGGATGTGTGACCATGCCACAAGATGTCCAAAACCCATAGGCTAGATTCAGGGGGTGTTTGCCCGTCGGGGGGCCGTTTTGGATTTTGGATGTTTGAGTTCCCCCGCATGTCCGGAAAGATCATCATAAAATAACTTTAGATGGGTTTTTGGATTTTGGGCGAAAGATCATCATAAGATAACTATCGATGGGTTTTTTGGATTTTGGACGAATTGATTTCACCAGAACTCAAGATGGGTTGGCCTTTTGGGCTTTATTTTTGAATCTACATATTTTGCCTTTGGAAAAATTTGGAAACGATTGTCCTAAGTGAGGTTGGGGGACTGTTGGCTCTCTGAGCCTCCTCCTCTGCCTTGAGGGTTGCCTTCTCGATCACCTCTGCAACTGCTTGGCCAGGTGGAGCTGCTGGGGTGCTCGCATCTTCATCTTCGGATGAGGAGGACCCGAAGACGGAATGCACGTCTTGCTCAGAACCAAGATCACCAAGGCAAACGCTGCCATCCACTTCCTTCTCCTCTTCCTCACCTTGCTCCTCCTGCGTTGTCTCGGCTTCCTGGTCATCATGCTCATCCTCCTCCTCCTCCTTTCCTTCTTCACCATCCTGCTCATTGTCCTTGTCCTCATCATCTTCAGCCTCCTTACCATCATTTTCTCCTTCCGATCCATCCTCCTGACTTAGAATTCCTGCCTCATCTTCCTCAGGTTCGCCTACCTTCTCATTCTCCTTTCTTTCAACTCGCAAAGAGGCAATCAAATTGTCAATCTGTTCCTCGCCCATGACTGCGAGGTCAGAACTGAAAACCTGCCGCTTCTCTTCCCGGGAGAGCTTCTTCATCTTGCTTGCCTTGTCTGGCTCATGTGTCTCATTCTCTGCTGCAGGATTTTTTTTGTCTCCAAGTGCTGCCCTTGCCTTCTTCACTTGCTGCGAAGGAGGCTGTGTCGGGTTTGCTTTGCTGATCTCCTCTTTGCTCCTTGTTTCCTTTCTCTCCTTGCCACCTTTGGCAGCCTGGGAACTCTTCGGCTCTTTCTTACTCTGATCCTCTTCTCTCACCTTCTTGTCTGTCTTCTTGGAAACCTTGCTATCTCTCGCTTTCTCCTTCTCCTGATCCTTTCTGTTGTCTGCCTTCTCTACCTTTGCTTCATCCTCTGCCTTGTCTTTCTTTGTCTTCTCGCTTTTCTTCTCCTTCTTGTTCTCTTTCTTGTTCTCTTTCTTCTGGTGCTTGCTATCTTTCTTTTCCTTTTTGTCTTTCTTCTCCTTGTTCGCAACCTTCTCTGTTCCTGTGTGGACATCCTTCTCTCCTTTCTGTTTGGCAGCCTTAACCTCGTTGATCTTGTTCATTTTCATCGCATCATTCAACTCAGGGCTCAGCTTCTCAGAAGCTGCAGGTGGCGATTTGATCGCGGGAGTCCTCTTGTCAACTGGGGTGGTGTAGACAAACGGTTGGCCCTTTCGACTTGTAGCCGTGGTAGTTGACGAAGCTGGACTTTCAACCGGCTTACTTTTCCCTGAAACCCTGGTCTTGGGTGGGTCCTTCCCCTTATGGGTCTTCTGAACACCTTTTGACGTCGGAACTGCCTCACGAACAGCGTTTTTCCCCATGGCTGGGCCTGCGTGTTTCAGCGCCTATGCCCACCTTGGGTTTCCTAGCTGAAAAAGCCAAAAGAGACTATGCAAGTGGGCTTGTTTCTGTGATCCAATTTTTTTGAATCCTTTTGGACAAGTTTCCAAACCAATAGGCAAACATGCAATTCTACAAACGACGGCTATTCACGACAAATAACGGCAAATTCACGGTCAAACGACGGCTGAGGTATGATCATTTTTGTAAAGAAAAAGATGGCATCGAGTCCCACTGATGCAATTCCCGGTCGGCGTGGGGGGCTTGCACCTGTCCTCCCGGCCGTCCGCAGAATAAAACGTGGCATGGCTCACCTGGCAGCGCAGCGGCTTCCGAATGAAGGACATCGTGCGGGGGTATGGGTGGCATATAGTGGTATAAGTACATATATATGCCGTAAAAGTAGTAAATAGGGGTATATGGCATATAGGGGTATATAGCGGTACAGGTTGATGTCGTGGGTGACCTGTTCCTTCCAGAACCTGACTTAAACTGTCGAGAGTCTTGCACACCTTTTGAAGCTGGCACTTTGCTCCAAGTTCGCTACTGCAGCAGGCGATCCCTAAAACGGATCTGAATTTCACTCTGTGCTGAATGGAAAAGCACAAGGTTTAATTTTATTCTCGTAAGTTGGTTTGCAAAGCCTGTGAAGAGGCCCCCTTAGGAGGTGAGAAATTGAAACACTGGCTCTAACTCTGCCTGCTTCACCCATTGGTGAAGCCCATGGGTTAATTTTTTGTGCTTGGTCTGATCAGCGTCCTGCGCCGCAGCTTTCAGGAAAGCCTTTGCTTCTCGTCGGACCCGAGCCTGGTTCCTAGTGCGCAGCTTTGCCATTGCACGGCCAAACCTGGGCTGAGGGAAGTATGGACAAATCCATTATGCGGTCACCCTTAAAAAATGAGGCGGCATTGTGGCGGATTCCCTACCATGGTTTATCACCCCTTATTTGAATGTTTCAAACCAGGTCGGCCCGTACCATGGGGCAGTGTTGTCTTGGTGGGTTTCAAGCCATAAGAGTTTCATCATGCCTTCTTTTTTTTAATATGCGAAATAAAATTACAACTAGTCCAGTAGCGCTGGAGTGTAGCTCTGGGAATCCTTCAAGCCCGATGCACCTTGCACCCGGGGTCGACCCTTCGAGTCGCGGTAGTGCCGCACCATAGGGCCGCTTGCAACGGCACGTGTGCCTTGCCGTGGCTTGTAGTTGTCAATCTCCTCAATGTAGCGATGTCCTGCAGGACTGACAAGTTAGTTAATTTTGAATGGATGGGAGTCAATCAAGAAATAACCAAAAGATGTTAAACCTGTCTTGGCACCGTGACATACCACAGATAATCTCCTTAAATACCATCTTGTCTTTAATGCAACATTCGTTCTTATCAACCCCTCAAGGTTAGAAAGACCACAAAGTTTTCCAAAGGTGGAACCCATCCCATCCACTGAAGATGTTTTAAACCCGGGCTGCCGAAATAAAAGCATACCATTTTTTGTGTTGGATGTAGGGCATTCTCCTGAGTAAAGCCATGTGGCTTTCTGGGTTGGTGCTTGAAAGTCACCCATCTTGATAGATTTCCTCCACACTTGGAGAAGTGTAAACAGCCACTGCATGGCCGGATGCCTCTCTAAAAGGCTTCCCTGGGGCTGCTCTAGCACCCAATTTATTCCCCTGCTGGCACAAAGAATGATTAACAAGACACATCTTGCCACCATTACGTTGGCTCCCGCCACTGCGGCAGAGGCCGAGGGATCTCCAAGCGGACATTGGGCTGAACGCTTGGTGCTGCCTCGCGACCTCAGAAAGTTGGAAATTGCAGCTGGGACCCAGTAAAGCCGCTATCTATCCACCCCAAACCTACCCAGTCTAGATGCTGCTTCCTCAAGATTGCCCAAACAAAAGATCCCACTTTCACGTTTTCCCTGTGCTGTGCGACTGAGTCGTATTTCGCAAAAAGGATGAGGGGCTTCTAAACACTGTCCACCGGAACGATTGAACAGTTTGGGTTTGAGCTGAGCTTCGTAACCTTTCTTTGGCACCCCAAGTCCCAAAGAAACTTCTCAACCAAAAGGACTTGTGGTTTAACATGTTTTTACCGAGAATGATGCCCCATAACACAGTAGTGAAAGCCTCAAGAATCTTTTGGTCTCCCCTTACTTTTTTTGATGGCAAGAGTTGGTCCCGAAATAGATGCCCATGCTGCTTTTGGTTTTCTGTGAATGTGATATAGTACTTGCAACCATTAAGTTGACACTGAGAGACAGCCACACCCACGTTCCACACACCGGTGCGAGGGTGAGGGATCCCCCCGGTTTGATTCGCAGCACTTGGTAAACCGCCACCGCAAAACCTTGGGGATCCAAGATGTTCATGTACTTGTCGTCGTAGTCCATGTCATAGGCCGCGCATTTCCTTCCCTCCTCCAAGTTTGAAGAATTGACAAAATGCTTCTTATCTGGTGTAGTGGGATGAAGCTTTCATGTGTGGACCAATTTCAAGTCCTGGTGGGACGATTTGTTGCAAGGGCTTTCTCTGTGCTGTAGCTGCTGACTGAATTCTCAAGCAAGAGTAATACTTTTAGGATGAGGGGTTCCTAAACATTGCCCGCCCGAACCTTTGAAAAGTTTGGGCTCTAGCTAGCTTCGTAGCCTTTCTCTGGCACCCCAAAGTCCCAAAGAAACTTCTCAACCAAAAGGACTTGTGGTTCAACATTTTTTTACCGAGAATGATGTCCCATAACACGCACACACACCCTAACCAGAAGGAGTTGCGGTGGAAGTCTCAAGAACCTTTTGGTTTCCCCTTACTTTTTTGATGGCAACAGCTGGTCCTGAAATGGATGCCCTTACTGCTTTGGTTGTCAGTGGGGAACTACGTTTGTTAAATTAAGCGATATGTAACTATATATAACCAACCTGATTGCAATACTGCTGTAACCCAAGTCCTGCATCTCCGCAACCGTGACTGCCATCTTCCCACTAAAGAGCTCCACATGGTCCAAAGGTTTGAAGGACAGCGGCAAAGAGAAAACCATCGCAGCCAGGATGGCCAATACCTGGGGACTGGGTGCAGGTGTGGTCTAGCATGTTGAAATCAATGACAGCCCCCTTGCAGTCATGACTTATCATTTTTTCAAGTGATTCCAATCGTTCAAAAAAATCCCAAGGCATTGCCAAGAAAATAGATGTCTAGGACCCATTTTTTCAACCGGACAGTTTGCAGGTAGACGTGGCATCTTACTTGGAATGGATGCAACACCCACGCAAATACCTTGTCACAACCTGACATACTTCAATCTGATCGTTTGTATAAACACATGGGCATATTTAATCATAATATGCTTATATGCAAATGGATCACGGATACTTGATCCACGGGATACGCTGCATGTTTTTGGATAAATATGTTCACCTTGCTCCGTTATATGTGCAACTTGTGGACATGTGCAAGTCTCAAGAAGTAAGTATGCACTCTGTTTTCGACCCCCCCAAGCACCCATATGTTGTATATATATATGACCACATTTTTGCTATCTACACTATACATCTCCATGTGTAAAACAACATATTTGTGCTTTAAAATCGTTACAATAAAATAAATCATCGGCAACTTGTTTTCAATACTAGAAGGAAACAACCCGGTATACAAGATAAGACATTTGCAACCTTATATGATATGTCATCATGTGTTTTACTGAAGGCATCGAAATGCATTTCCAGCGTGTACGGCTTTGTTTTATCATGTTCTTGTGCTTGTAAACTGGGTCATACATATTTGGGTTTGAGAGAATGTACATATACTATATATATATGCGTGTGTGTGTGTAAAAGCAGTTTCATGCACACGCGCACAGAGAGAGATAATTTACACACGCAAGCCTTTGAGCGCACGTATGTGAATATAAAGAATGCATATGCGTACATATTGCACTGATCCCATTTACAGATGGCCAATAGCAACAATCAATTCCCTGGAGGGGTGATTTGAAACATGGTGGGGGTTCCAAAGCATTTTTTTACTTTGTATTTTCACAAGGTCCCATGGTCCAAAAAAGAGGTTTGGAACTCACATGATTTCTAAAACCCCGTTCAACAGATAATACCTGGCGCTAAACACTGGGAATGTTTCAAAGATGATGATGTGTTTGTACACCCCAAGTCACCCAAAATGAAATGAAAGATTCCAGATCGCTTGCGGCCCACAAGATCTGTATACGAGTCATAAACTTAAAATTCAGCCCAAAGACTTTGGGGGCTCTCAGGCGATGCAAGCCCAGCATTGTCCACTTCCGCTGTTTTGCTGCATGCCCCTTGGGCGCTGCTGCAGGATCTGTGAAATCCTTGGGCGCCTTCATCACTGATTTCTTGGTGCGACGCTGAGAAGTTTGCTGCTTCCCCATGGTGGCAGGTTGGAACACCTATCAATCCTAGTTCTTGCAACCGAGATCTCTGGTGACTCTGAGCCTGGAAATATTTCCCGGTTGCAATAATACAGCACAACTCTGAAACAACTGCGTTTTGATTGTTTGTTGGAGCTAGTATTTGGAAAGATCCTAGATGGTTCAAGTCGAGCAAGCATGCATTTCTTCGGTCGAAAGCTGTTAGGTCAGCTTCTTGGTGGTGTGCCATCGCCATCATGCAACCCTAACCTTGCCAACACCCCTTGGCTGCACCTTCACACTTGCCAAGGTAGCCAACCGACCTGCTGGCAAGGACCGGCAAGGATATAGGACAGACCGAAGCGGAGTGACTGGGACCCGGAAAGAATCATAGAATCATCAGGCCTCTGGTCAGAATCCCCATGGACCAGGGCGCGAAGTGGCTACACTCAACATTCTAAGATTGTTAACGGCCATGTTTAGAAACGACATTTGGAAACTGTGAAAGCAATGCGTCAACAGTTGGTGCATCCGAGAAGCCTTGAGATCACATGCAAATCCATGATATTTATTTTCCTGTGGGAGCATATCCATAATATTTTCCAGTGGGTGAAACGGACAAAAGACTTGTTTTCTGTCTTGCAAATTGCACGCTTTAGACAATCTTGACTTGGAGCCAGAAGCTCAAGCTTTGATTCAGAGAGCTTTGGCTTGCATCAAAGAGCATCAAAGAAGGATCGATCCGGTGAATCTGATTACCCAATAAATTAACTATATAGCTAGTTTGTAGTACGCCCATGTCTAACGAAGACAACCAAAAGCTTATATGCGCACATGGTAGTCGAGCTCACAGCCATGTGCACTTGGATTGAACCAAACGACGACTCACATCCCAAGCTCTGCCAGCACAGAAATAATGCGCACTAAAGACGCGCTTTTGCCTCACAGAGATGTGCAATTGAAGTAATGCTGCTCCATTTCTCACCAAACTCAGCTTTGGTGTTCCAACCCTCAAGATGCATTGCTGCTAGCTCGCTGACCAGTCGCCGCGCTACAAAAAAAATCAAACCAGGTTGCTTTTAGAGTATATGAATTTATCAAACACTCCTCATTCAGGGCCGCCCACCACCAACACAAAGCAAGTACTAGCTTACAAGTCGCTATTGTTTTTCATCAAAAGGGCCAGGTAGTGGGAACCATAATTGAATAAATTTCCGCCCGGCAAGCAGCCACGCTACGTGAGCTAGGTTTGCATCACCCCGCAAACCCCATGACAGCCAAACTCCGGGAGGCATCACTCCGTATGAGCAGTGGCCAAACCACTCCAAGCTGCATCACTGAGGCAACAATGACACATATTGTGTAGGCGGTCAGGAAGCCATCATCCAGGTCGCACCATGACAGTCAGAAGTTTTTGCAAACAGCTTTGTACATGCAAAAAACCAAGGGACCCATTCAAAAACTTCCTGGAAACACCTACCCCCAACGCTTGATACCTGATCGTTCCTTAACGATCTGCCAGGCCCGGATTGGGCCGTCGTACTTCGACCAAGACACCTGGCCAGAAGGACCAGGAAAGCCAGCAGCAACTTTCTTAATGAAGTACGCCTGCTTGGCTACAAGAACTTCCACTACGCCGCCGCCAAAATTCAGCGTGTAGCTTTTTTGGCCCCTGTTGGGCTTATCCAAGCATGGCCACGCTTCACGTGGCACGGCGGTGAGATCATAGCCATTGTAAGTGGCCCCATTCCCAGAAGTAGGTTTCTTTCCCTTGCGGGACTTCAACACACCCTTCTTAGAACCACCCTTGCGAAAGCTCGCTTTCTTTGCCTTCTTCCCCAAACCCTTCTTTGCCTTGGATTTCTGGTTCCTCTTCTTCAGCTTTCGAACTTTCTTTGCCGGGTCCTGGACAAACGGAGCTGGGAAATAAAGATGCATATCCATAAACAACCAAGACCCTGCTGCGAACATAGTGGTAAAGTTTGAACGCAACGAAAAGAAACTGAGTCAGATTGAATGCCACTTGTTTTGACTGTTTTAAATCCAAGAAACATCAGTCTTGGGAGGAGTCTCCACCATAGGGAATCCCCAGAACTCTGGTCGGCTAACACTAGGGGTTGCCAAGGCCACGGAATCACGCCCAGAAGTGGACGCACGGCAAGCCTCCAAAAACAATGACCGAGGGAAAAAAATTAAATGAAAAAAACAGGCAAACAGGAAATGAGTGTGGAGAGGACACGACTGACATCGCAAAACTCAAAGAATAATTGATTATCCCTTCAAAAGACCCCAAGCAGTGTTGTGGGGGGAGTGGGAGGATACTGTATTATATGGTTGTTGATGATGATGGTGATGATGATGGTGATGATGATGATGGTGATGAAGATGATGATGCTGATGATGATGATGATGATGGTGATGATGATGATGGTGATGATGATGATGGTGATGATGATGATGCCGCTGCCGCTGCTGCCGCTGCTGCCGCTGCTGCCGCTGCTGCCGCTGCCGCTGCCGCCGCTGCCGCTGCCGCCACTGCCGCCGCTGCCGCTGCTGCCGCTGCTGCCGCTGCCGCCGCCGCCGCTGCGATGATGATGATGATGATGATGGTGATGATGATGATAATGCTGATGGTGATGGTGATGGTGATGGTGATGGTGATGATGATGATGATGACGATGATGGTGAAAAGGGTGGTTATTTTCCGGAAGATGAGGTGGAGGAGGATGATGATGATGAGGTGTAGGAAAAGTGCACGGGCCCAGAAGCTAGGACCATACTTTGTGCGAGCCTGCCTAGCTGAAAGGCAGTTCAACAATTCACAAGAGGCACTTTCTACGCAAAATTACAGGCAAAATGCGGCGGCCACGAACCTAGAACCACACTTTGTGCGAGCCTGCGCAGTCGAACTGCAGCTCAAATTTTCACAAGAGCCACTTTGTACGGAAATTTACAGGAAAAAGGCTCGCGCCCAGAGTCAGCACCTTAATCAAGCACTGGCCTTTACAGCCACCGTAAGAACCCCTCAGTGTGGACACATTGTTTGGGGAATCACCTTGTGCCTACCTCGCCTCATCATGCATCTCACGGTTTCCCTTCTCCATCTCGGCCGTAAACATGTTTTCATCAACCACCGGATCTCCACACGAGCTCAAGTCACTGGGATCACTTTCAGAATCGCTGCTGCTGGGCGGGTCCTCCAACCCAACTTCACATTCACCATCATCAAACTCACTCACCGGAGCAGGGCCGGCGGAAGATGCTGCATGGGGATTGGAGGAAACAGGTGACTCAGGTGACCAACCAGGGCTCAGTGTTTTTGGCAAATCTGTGATGGCATCGTAATCCATGGGATCATCCATGTCATTTACCCATTCCTTGTTAGGACAGACCTCATCCCCAGACTCATCAGATGACTCATGTGCGGAATCACTTTGGGCACAGGTTTCTGATTTCTTCCCTCCACTGAACTTCGGCACAACAAACTTTGCCCAGAATTTTTTCAACTTCGGGTCAACGGGATTCTCTTCCTTCGGCGTGGGAAATTCTTCAAAGGTAGCAAGAGGGGGGCTCGCCAATGGCACAGACACCACATCCCCATCCCCAGACTCTCCAGAGTCTGACTCTCCAGAATCTGACTCTGAAGAATCAGACTC